ATTGATGATTTCAAATGTGAAAAAATATATTAGTTATGTACAAATGATTTTTCAGGATGGCTCCTAGAAGGCTCAATCGCTCTCAAGAAGCTTAAGTTCTTCCATCCAATCACAGCTCGAAGTAATTGATATACTTCTCGACTCATATCTTCAATCCCTAATTTTCTCCATTCCTGCTAATGCTTCTTTTGAATTGACAAATCAGTCTTTGTCTGTGCTAATGTGGTGTATCGCAACGAAGTTCTGCGTTGTAACTAACTGACATGTTTTCTCCTTGGAGTAAATCCCCAGCTTGGTCCTTGCACTGTTTCTCATGTGTTCAAGTCACAATCTGAATTTATTTAGGAGTGAATAGGTACTCAAGTGTTTTGCGTACATTTAACTGAAGTATGTAGTATGGTTTACTGATAGGATTACACAATTCATCCGTTTAGAAATTACTTTTTTATGATAGTGGTTAAATTCACAAAAAACCTTTATCCAATATTTCCATTTGGAATTGATGTTATGGCTTCACTGATTGATGATGAGTAATATAGACTTGAACCGTAACCCTAACCCTATCAAATCAGCATTTCTAACTAATATGCACAGTTTTATCATTAATCAGTTGAACGAAATGTGTGACCTCAAGCTAAATTCCGACATATCATCATTGTTACGAATGCATCTATCTACTATATCGATTGATTTCCAATCATAACATCACTCACTTGTAAATGTGTGATATAAAACTGATCCAACTAATTTAATTATAACTTTATAGTTATTGTATGTGTTGTCATGACAGCAGTGGATTAGTTTTTCTTCTCAATTCATGATGCCTTATTGAAACTCTGTAATTAATCTTCATATACACTCAGTTTGTGCATGAAAACATGTTGGTTACAAAAAGACTCTAGTAGTGATATTGTTGAAATCATGAATCAATCATTGTTAGACATCTGGAACTCTGAGCCCGGTGTTAATGTCTAACTCTGGTCAATCAGTGTGCTCAGGAAGTGACTAGCTGTCACTGATATGCTTAAACTATTACGAGTTTACCTTACTCGGTGAACGGAACAGTGACACGATAGGCTATTATAATCCGTTTCTCCAAGACCCCTGTTAACAAGATCAAGAAGTCTTGATAAAGCGTAGAGAATGTATTCTACAAGCACCCAGAAAGTACGAAATGGACAAGCATACAACTCAAACTTATTTATACAATGATTAAACGCCCTTAGTAAGAGCCACAAAAATAGCGTACTAAAATAATATCTATCAACCAATGACAATCAAGGATTTCCGAGTGGGAAATGCAATCTGAAAGTCAAAATGAGCGTCTTTGGCGCGAAAACATGAAATTCAAAATCTCAGAATAAAATTACCAAATTAGGACCTTTTCCTAGTGATTTCGGGGCATGTAACGTCCCCAACAGACATGAGGAAATTCTCAGGGTTCTGCTGAGGTGTGAGCAGTGGGGTTCAACCCTGTCGGCTGTAGGCAGTAACTACTGAAGTCGATCGATGTGGTGTGGTGCGAACTACTTATAAGTAGTATATGACGTGAGTGTCAACGTAATGTCTGGCGGCAGAAGATGGGGGGAAGATCAAGAAAGGAAGAGTTAGAACACAATGGAATTTGTATGAAACAACGCATGAATAGTGACAATGGATTGATGTTGTTTGCAACAGGAACAGTCCAGTTCGATATGATGAACTGATATTTTGCAAATGAACGATTTACGATCTGGTTTTCCGATTTTACTGAGTAACTCTGTAATTTCCGTTAAATACAATCCGGTTGCCCCACCTGTGTTCTCGTTCACTACAGTGGTTGCGCAAAATCTCTAGATTTATCAGAGCTAGATATTAACACCGTTGGATGCCGGCAAGCTCAATGTTCTAGAGGTTAACCGTTCAGGAGCAAGACCGAAGGTCGTGAATACACACTGCTAATGGGTCTTATACCAGGACGAAACGGCGGTCTAGTGCTTGTGGGTCTAACATTCATTGATTCATGATTTCAATGTGAAGTTTCAGCGTGTGTTTTTTCTGTGACCAGAGAAACATGTTCATTTTTTTGTCGTACGACTAACCAATGCTCTTGTAAATGAATATAATAATACATGTATTTTCGAACTGTTTGTTTGTTGATGTAATGAGTTGTTTTCGTTTAGGGATGTGTGGGAGAGAAAGTAGGTCATGATGATATTCGTCTGTTAATAAAGTGACCACCATAAGATGTATACACATTTCATCTACATTCCAATTAAAAAACAATAGACACATTGTAGTGAACGAGAACACAGGTGGGGGGCGACCGAATTGTATTTAACGAAAATTACAGAGTTACTCAGTAAAATCGGAAAACCAGATCGTAAATCGTTCATTTACAAAATATCAGTTCATCATATCGAACTGGACTGTTCCTGTTGTAAACACAACATCAATCCATTGTCACTATTCATGCGTTGTTTCATACAAATTCCATTGTGTTCTATTTCTTCCTTTCTTGATCTTCCCTCCCATCTTCTGCTGCCAGACATTACGTTGACACTTACGTCATATACTACTTATAAGTAGCTCGCACCACAACATCTCTGTTAATTGACATTTTCACTCAAAGAATAATATTGTAATAGTAGTAGTTTGAAATAAAGAAAAAAATATGTAGAGTGGTTAGAGGTTGTAAGAATTTCTCTCTCTCTTCATTGTGATTGATTGAATGAGCTGTTCTTTCTTTTTGGTGTTGTTAATGATGGTGATGTTGTTTTCGTTAAAGAGTGTTTTTTGTAACAAAAAAAATGCGTTTTTTTAAATTTTCATACCTTTTCTACTATTGCTATTCGTTTGTGCTTTGATTGATTGGTTGAGTTTGTTCAAATCGATTATTTGGTGGTTTTGTTTCTTGCCCGACCGTATTCTCTGCTACCATGACGTGGTGGTGGTCGAACTTGCCTATTTCGATAACCCAACCGAGCTATATTGGCTGGAATATATGCTCCTTTAGGTGTGAACATGCCAGGCAGATCGATTGAAGAACGGTAGAACTAAAAGCAGCGAATTCAAGTCCGAGGGTAAAGTCATACTTCTAACCTTATGTGGATTTGATAGCAGTAAGGTGTTTCCTTCGGACAACCAGCATGTTCAGCGACGCTACCTTCTTACAACGAAAAGCAGGGGTTAGAAAGTGTCGACCCTAAAAACATCACCCCTCAACTTACACCAGTGATTTCCGTCTCCGGAAGTGAGGTATTTTGAAGGGCGGGGCAAACGCTTTAGAACTTCACATAAAATGGTCATGCATGACCAGCCTTATGTAGTCGTCCCCTTCCAAGGTGTGGCCAGTTGGGAAGTGACATACCCCCTCATACCCACAATAGCACACGAGATCAGCGGGCTCACAATCCAATCGTTGCTGCACGTTGTATCTGACTGACTGCATAGTATTTTTCCAGAAAAATATAGTCATCTTTTTTAAAAAGACTACAAGTTTTCAATCATTTACGATATTGTGCAACCATGCTTCATTGTATTCAATGGGTCACTGCTTCTTAGAGTTCTAGTGAAAAGATATGACTAGCAGAGTTGAATTGTACCGGGTTCAGGATATGTCCATCAAGAACTATAGAATATGATTAGACAATATTTTGAATTGTGATTAAATATGGTAAACTTTTGGATGCTGGCCAATTGGTCTAAATTTTAAGCCACTGACTTAAGATCTGTATTTAGGTCTTAGTTTCAATGTCATGTATGGTCATCGATACTTATTACTGCGGTGTCTTATAACTAGAACAAAATAGCTGTTTGGTTTTTCTTGGTTTTTAGTGATTATATAACTTAATTCAGTTTGTATTCTCAATGATATTTTGAACAATCTCTAGAAATGTGCTATACGAACATTTGAACAGTATTCTTACACTCATAAACTCACTTGATATTCCTGTTTTTTTGTTTTATCCAATTGGCTGAAAGTCCCATATAGTTTTGAACATAATCACTTGACAATTTTAGATTTGCATTATAGCGTTGTAAAGATTGTTGAGTTACTTTTTGAAATCATGAATCGACCGATGTTAGGCCACCATTAGGAAGAAATCTGGAAGTACAGGATGGTCGTTTCATTCTGGTATTTGGACTCATCAGTGGCAGTGCGCATGCACGACTCTTGCTACTCGCAGTAATTGAACACAGGAGAGCCTTCGTTCTTGCACGTGAATGCTTAACCTCTAGATTTTTATCATGAAATGATTTAAATTAGAAAATGTTTAGTCATGTTGATACAAATGACAATAATGTGCTTGCTTGAAGGTCATGTGTACATATAATTGTGATTGGAAATAAAACGCCACGGCTGTTGTTGTTGACTTCAGTCTATGAAGAACAAGTTTCTAACCACTAGTTATGATAATCATACAGATCCTAACAGTCAATGAATTCATGGTTTGGTATACAGATCTGATATGCTTGAAACTATTACGAGTTTACCTTACTCGGTAAATGGAACGAATATCAATGATACAGTGACACGATAGGCTATTCTAATCCGTTTCTCCAAGACCCCTGTTTACAAGATCAAGCTGTCTTGATAAAGCGTAGAGAATGTATACTACAGGCACCCATAAAATGCGAAAATGCAAACAACTCAAGCTTATTTATACAATGATAGAAACTCCCTTAGTGAGTGCCACAAATGAGCCTACTAAAATAATCCATCAACCGATGAGAGTCAAGGATTTTCTTAGTGGGAAATGTAAGCTGAAGGTCATCTAAGCGTCTTTGGCGCAAAAACAATGAAATTCAAAATTTCAGAAATACATTAGGACCTCTTGCACGTGAGTTCTGGTGATCTAACGTCTCCAACATGACCCTTAGATTTCTTTCACCTTACTCCTCTACTTAACTATCAAGACGAATTCCTTATTGTAACAAACTGTCTATTATATTGAAATACAGTGACTACTATTGTTCACTCTATCTCTCTTTCACTCTCTCATTACGATTATTTTTAGTTAACTTTATTCAATCCAACTGGTCTTGTCGTGAAAATGTTTGTCATTGTTTATGATTTAGCTGATATGCCACCGAATTGTCAAACATTCCTTCGACAACGTACAGTTTACATGCCAGTGCAACAACAACAACAACAACAACAACATAATCAATTTCATTCATCTCAACTCAATTCAACCTCTTCACAAATATCTCCCATTTGTTCTTATCATAATCATCAACAATATAATTCATTAACTCAACAATGTCAATCAACTACTACTACTACACACAATACAATCATGAATCAGTTCAGTAATAATATTAATCATAATCATAATAATAATCATAATTCTATCAAATCGATAACTACATCCATTCATCATTGTACTGCTACTACTACTAATAATACAGAAGAGAATTATTCAAAATCATTCACTGAATCACATACACCATCATCATTTCTGTCATTTTCTTCATCATCACCAACATCAACAGCATCATCATCAGCATCATCATTATCATCAGTATTGTCATCATCAACATCTTGTTCATCATGTTCATCGTTTACATCAACTTGTTCAACAAATTCATTATATGATTCACAGAATATTGTGTATAATCATAATAATAATAATAATAATAATTATAAAAATACTGGTGTCATCGGTGCATCATCATTGAATACACGTAATGAATTGCCTGCATTCTTACGATATCTTGTTCATTTAAGGTAAATAATATTATTTGTTTTCATGATAGAAAGTGATGTTGATTGTTGTTTTTTTCATTGAAACCATTGAATCAAATTGTTAGCGGAGCTGCGCGCTGATTGGCTAATTCTTATCCAATCAGCGCCTGTCTATATTTGGAGTACAATACAGAAGCTTCTCATGTAAAAACTATAAAGATACTAACATTGTTGCTATATTTCGCCTTCACTTCAGCTTCTTACTTTCATTTAACTTTGCTATTTGGACTAGAATCTTTTCCTGTTCAACCATGTTCTGATTTGGGGACTTGTTACCAGAGAATGCTAAGCAGTAGTAATAGCTGGGTTCTACCAAGAGAGATTTATAACACAAACATTGTTAGAAACATCATTAGAAACTCATAAGCACTGAACGATTGCCGATCGGGATGATTCTTCAATAAACTTAGTTCTGTGCTTTCTTTTACAGTTTTCCTCAACTGCTATTCATCCCTTTCATGTCTGTCTCCGATTCTCCAGGCAGTATGTTTCCTTAGTTTTCCTCTTTGCTTTTGACCTGGAGGATTCCGGGTGAGGTCTTGCCTTGTGACCCAGTTCAGTGCTGTCCCCAGTGTGTGTTCTTTCCATAGAATCATATCTTGGAACCCTAATATTCTCCATTACTGCTAATACTTCTACTATTGCTACCACTATGTGATTTGAACTGATAGTTTCGTCTCTGTGCTAATCCGGTATGGCAACTTGAACTGGTGTACTTACGTGCGAAGTTCTGCGTTGTATCTGTCTGTCTGTGTTATGTCCACCCCCAGCGTTTTTTTACCTAATTTCCCCCTCTGTTGGAATCTGGTTTGTTCCCTCCCACAGTAGGTTGTTGCTGATAGTGACTGGCCATCAGATCTTTCAGTAAATTGCGTAGACAACTGTTAATAAACACCTGTATCTTGTAGATGATGGCTTTTGTAGTTCTTGCATTTTCAGCCAACACAGTAGAACTAACTGCCTTGTCATTTGTAATTGAAAATTGTGACTTTATTGTTGGTTGGCAAATGTTTTGAGTTCCAGACGGTCTTGAATTGTAGAAATGCTGCCCTGGCTTTGCTAACCCATGTCTTCACATCAGATCCACTTAGTTCATCATTGATTCTGCTTTAGATATGTAAAGGTTTCTACATCTTCCAGAGCTTCTCCGTCAACTGTGATTTGGTTAGTGCATGTTGTATGTTACATAAGAGGATCTTGTTTTTCCCTTTCTGTATTTTGACACCCTATTGCCACAGAGGCTGTTGCTACACTGACCGTCTTTATCTACATTTGTTATTGTGTGTGCGATAGAAAAACCAGATTGTCAAGCTGCATTCTGGCTATCCAGTTGTATTGCTTGCTTTCCCTGAGATTTTGAAGTTTCCATATTAGTCTAATCAAACAACCACCACCAGAAAAGTTATTATGTATTCTTTGGAATGTACAAAAAAAATTAAGTGTAATATCAATAAGTCAGTCAGTCAGATGCAACGTAGAACTTCGTACGTAAGTACATCACTTCATGTCGCCATACCACATCAGCACAGAGATGTAATTGTCAATTCAAATCCAATAGTAGAAGAGGTAGTAAAGGTATTAGGAGTAATCGGAGAGGTTAGAATTAGAAGATATTATTCAAGAAGTATGATTTAAGGAGAAAAGTTTAGAAAGTCAAAACTAGGGGTGTTGAAGAATTCAGAAGATTAGGATTTGAGAGAACACAGAGAATAAATTCACCGGCGCCATTGCAAACGGTTTTGAGCCATGTTATTCAAGGTCTCTAACCATCGATTATTATCATCTCGCGGACCCCAACCAGGTAGTCGACAGCTACCAACATGACTCAGTCACTTGTCAGTGACTTCATGGATTTCTGCCATGTTTTGGTTTGGCCGCCCCTAGCTTTCTCCCAACCTACTCCTACACTACAAAACAAAGCTCTTCAAGGCAGTCGGTGGTTAGGCATACGCAACACATATCCCAACCACCTCAAATGATGAAGTGTCACTACTGCGTCTATTGATCTGCCATTCTTACCTAGCATCCGTGTCCTAATAACAGCGTTGCTGACTCGGGTGTTCCACGATATACGAGCAATGCTTCTAAGACACCTATGATCGAAAACCAGTAACCGACGAATATCTTCTACTCTCATTGGCCATGTTTCACAGCCATAAAGTAAGACGGAGCGAACCACTGCATAGTACACTCGTCCTTTAGTCACCAAACGGATATCTCGCCTTCGCCATAAGTGACGCAGGTTGGCAAAAGCCAATCGAGCTTTCTGTATCCGTGCTGAGATTTCGTCAGTCACCAGGCCATCGGCACTGATGAGACTCCCAAGCTAAGTGAAGCGGTCTACACGCTCGACTACTTCACTCCCTATCAATAAGTCAAGTCATTGACTATTTATTTATTCAATGTGTGGTATATAAAGAAGTCAGATCGATCATAAAAATAAATTATCAATCAAGAGAGATCGACATAAGTTAGTGTAATATATATATATATATATATATATATATATATATATATATATATATATATATATATAACAGTTCAAATTACCAAATATCACTATTAAATATCAATGTAATTCAGTTAGTGTGAATGCATGCAATTTATTTCTCTCTCTTATCTTAATTATTATATTTCAATTATTTTGATTAGAATGTTTATTTACTTTACACTTATATTTATTTGATCATTGAACAGTTGTTATAATTGACGAAAGATGTTTGATTAATAATCTCTGAGTGTTGATCAATCATCATATTGAAATGTTGTCATTAATCTAAATGTTGTAACGCTTGCTTAAATAATTCCCAGCTAAATCCTATTGCTTAGTATTCTCTGACCACAATACACTGGACAAGTTCCAAAGAATCAAAAACACGGTTGAACAGGAAAAGATTATATTCCAAGTAGCAAGGTTAAGTGGAAATAAGAAGCCAAAGGTGATGGCGAAGGCGAAGGCAAAATTAGATACAACGTTAGTCTATTTATAGCATTTACATGAGAAGCTTCTGGATAGAAATTCACGTGATCGACTGGATTAGATTTAGCCAATCAGCACGCAGCTAACAATACGAGAATTTTCTACCCTGTTCTTCAAGAATCGATCAGGTGCTGATTGGATAGGAAATTAGCCAATCAGCGCGTAGCAACGTAGTAATGCTTTAATTCCATCAATGTCCGACTAACACTAAATAACTTAACATGGTATTTATTATTGTTTTTTATTCTTCAACGTGTTAAGAGATAGTCGAAAAGAAAGCCTATCATATAGAATTTCCCTGTCATTTTAAAAGAACTGATACTTTGTGTGAAATGTTTTAACTTGCTCTGTATTATATGTTGTCGAGTTTGTTTTACATATTCCCCATACATATGACTCCATTGTCTAATAGGCTGTTGTTTATGAGAGTAGCCACTCATGGTCCTGATGTTTAAGTATTTTGACTTATCACTTCTCGCTGTATTTCAGACCTCACTTCTGACGACAAAGTTTGAATCTCCCTCTTTTTTTGTTGTTGTGGAAACACAGAATCACTGCCGTCATACCGTAGTAAAGTTGACACTAGACTCATCTCTCAGGATTTAATGACAGTACGTTTTGGTCTCCAACTAACCTTACTAACATGGTAGGGTGGACCTATAGGAACTAGTATTCTATTCAAGATAATTCGATTTAATCAATATGAATTATACAAATCCAACTTACCACATCAAAGTAGCAGCTACGACCCAGTAACCACATATTTCATTTTGGTATTTCATAGTTGAAGATTATAAACCGGAAACATTTGCTAGTTTCAGATTCATTTTAGTTAACATTCATTAATTAAACTTTATCTGATTATTTGAAAGTCAGTCAGTCAGTTGCAACGTAGAACTTCGTACGTATGTACATAAGTTCATGTTGCCATACCACATTATTAACACAGAAACGCAAATGTCAAATCAAATCCCATAGTCATAAAGATAGTAGAGGTATTAATGGTAATGAAGAAGACTAGGGTTTGAAGATATTGTTCAAGAAGTATAATTAAGTGAAATAAGGTTGGAAAGACAAAGGTATAGGTACTGACGATTCCGGACGATTAGGATTTGAGAGAGCTCTAAGAATGGATGCACTTGCGCCATCGCAAACGATTCTGAGCCATGTCATTCAAGGTCTCTAACCATTGATGACTTTCGTCTCGCGGAACCCAACCAGGTAGCCTAAATCTACCAACATGATTCAGTCTACTTGTCAGTGACTTTATGGATTTCTGCCATGTTTTGTTCTGGCCGCCCCTATCTTTCTCCCAACCTACTTCTACACCACAAAACACAGCTCGTCGAGGCAGTCGTTGGTTAGGATTTGAAAGCGAATCAGCAATTCCTCTTTTATTTACAAGAAAAATCATATTCAGTATTAGTCAATTCATTGTAAATAGTTTTCATGTAATAAGTTTTTTCAAAAAAAGAATCTTGTGATAATGATATGCTTGTCACCAGTTGATATGCTTGAAACTATTACGAGTTCACTTTAGTCCATAAACGAGAGCGAATATAAATGACTCTAATCCGAGCATCCCAACGCTCCACTAAGTAGAAGAAGAAATCTTGATATGGTGTAGAAAGTGTATTCTACAAGCATCCAGAAAATATGAAGTTTAGGTTGACAAGTCCACAAATCGAGTGTATTTGTACATTATAGAAACGTCCTTGGAAGAGCCACAAAAATAGTATCAACCAATTACAGTCAAGAATTTTCCGAGTGGGAAATGTACTCTCAAGGTCAACTGACCAGCCTATGCGCGAAAACGCAAAAAAATCCGTAATTAGAAACTTTTCCTAGTGAGTTCTGAAGATCGAACCTCCCCAACAAAATAACACACTGAAAACAATTTGAATTTCCTCGATAATTTCTTCACACACACACATACACACACAAATTATTATTTTTTTTTTCTGTGTTACCAGATTTCATACAACTCGATCGGGTAAATTATACTTACACACAGATTTACGTTTAATATTTTCACGTGACAAGTTTGAATTTGATCCACGTGTTGAAACGTATGAATTACGTTCGTTTGTTGATGCACCATCGAATCCACGGTATTCACCGAAAAAATGGTCAACACGTCATCATCACCATCATCAACATCAACGTCATCATCATCATAATTCATTGAAACGATCTCAAAAATCAATAAATCATTCACAAATTTCCGAATAACAAACACCAAGACACAGATGATGATCATCAAGGTGTTGTTGTGTGTGTGTGGGTGTGTAGTTGCTGTGGTTGTCCATTTTCTATTCATCACTAATTCCAATTTTGACATGATGATATCATCATCATGTATCATCAGAAGAAATATTATCCGAAAACTGCATCAATCTACTTATTTTCCTACAAATATGAATATATATATATATATATATACACGACATGTTTACAAATTTGTGTTTTTATGTGAGCATTGTTCGAGTATTTTCTCTTGTGTGTGTCTGCGTGTGAGTGTGTACGTGTACGTGTATAGTACAGTTTTTTTTTCACTTCCATGTTTATTTTCTTATCTATCAACTATATCTATACTGTGATATGAATTCTCTATTTCTCCGGCCTATTTGCATAAACCTATACATATATAAATATATATATGTATATATATATATATATATATATATATATATATATATATATATATATCTTGTGCTTTATTTTTCGAGTTCTATTCTTTAATTAAACTTGTTGTACTTATATTATTTACATGTCGTTTTGTTTTTTTTAATTGTACCAATCTGCGTTTTGTTTATTATTATTTCATCTTTGTGCCTAACACATTGAACACATTGATCAATAATAGAGTGTGTAGCGCAGTGTAGTCTCATCCATCAAGTATGATGAATCAAGTATTGTACAAAAAACAAAATTGATCAATATTCAATAATCAATAGAAAAAAAATATATTCCATTATTTTTGATTTTTTTTTTCATTGATATTCCTTCTATACGGTGTGGAGCGTGAGCGAGAGCGAGATGGCTGGCGCATTGTGTATGATCGTAGTAGTAATAGACATGTGCAATTTTGACAACATTCTTCTCAACTTTGTTATGTTAATCTGTTTTTCTTATGTGTGTGTGCGTGCGTGTGTTGGACAGAATTGAATTTGCCATGTTGAAAAATGTATCTACTGCTAATATTATTATTATTATTATTATTACCATTATTACTTTGACGACCATTGTTATCCGTTGCCTTTAATTTGTTAATCATGTGCACATGTCAACATTATGTAGTGTGAACCTTTCTGCTCACTCACACACACACACATACTGTACTAGTCAATCATGTTTACTTCTTTTCATTATTGCCACTATTACTAATAATACTACTCATAATCATAGTGTAACCTATTAATAATTCAAAATTAGCGCTTTTTGTAATTTTGCCATTTTACATTTTATTTTTCTTCTCATTTTTTACTTCTCTTCTCTATTTTTCCCAACTGATCAAATCTCATCTGTTGTTTGAATTGTCTTTCCATGTTGTTTTTCCCCACCTCGTCGGTGGGGGGCGCTGGTGTTGATGATGATCGTTTCATTGTGTTTGTGTTTGTGTGTGTGTGTGGCTGCGCGTGTGCTTTGCCCATTAGATAAACCAAAATAACTCTTTGTGTCTTTCATAATTGTAACCAATACATTAGTGTTTTTCCCATGTTTTTTTTTAGAAGAGTTTTTGCATTGTACATTGACGTGCTGAATTGGACATGTAGTTAAGTGTGTGTATGTGTGAATGTGGATACATAATCAATCGACTTGTTATGTGAATGAATTCTTGACTCATTTACTGTATACTACTTACAACACCGAATAGAGACGACTAAACTAACTAACTGACTTTTGTTTATTATGAACGACAACACAGTCTTCGTTTTGTTTTTCGCTCAATCGTGTATTGCTGCTACTGCTGATGATGATGATGATGATGATGATGTTGATGCTGAGATTGATAGTATCGTAATCTAGTAGTGTGTAATAAAGAATGGTAGCTTAAATCTGATCAATAACCTTGTTGTGCATGCATTACGATCATTATTCATGCTACCAATAGAAAACGATATTCTCTAGCAAGAGAACGAGTTCTACTACACAGACAGACATACACATACACATAGACACATGCGCATACACAAACATCAATGATGATTATAATAAATACATGAACCTGTCTGTTTACAAAAAATCGATTTTAATTGTTACAGTGAAAATCTTTATCAGAACTATTATTATCTCATAAGGTATACCTACTTCTTTTTCTGTGTGTGTGTGTGTGCATGTGTATTCATATGTGTTTTACATGTTTACATACACAATAATTAGTCAAATGTTTGTGTTGCGTTCTCATTGCTGATTGATTGATTGATTGCTCATTGTTATATTGGAAATGCTTGTGAAATTCTTTGATTTGTATGTCCAATAAGCGATTCACATACACACACACACACACAAACACATTCGCTCACTCATACTGTGATGCAATTTGTCTTTGATGATTATTGTGTACACATTAATATCTATCTATCTATGCCTTCGTTTTTTTTCTCCGTGTATACTTACAGATACGAACCGAGAAAGTGTTTTGTTTTTTTTTAATAAAAAAAAACTACCTTCATTTTGTGTTTTTTCATTGTTTCTGGGTTATTATTTTTGTTGCTGTGTTGTTTGTTGTTTGTTTTGGTTTTTCTTTCACAAATTCTTTTTTTTTTCATTTATTTATTGATATTATTTATTTTCTCTATTTATAATTATTTGTTGAGAAAAAAAAATTAATTATTACGATTTCATGTGTTGTTTTTGTGGTGGTGGAGGAGGTCAGTTAGTTATAACGTAGAATTTTGTACGTAGGCAAATAAGTTCAGGTTTTGCCATACCAGACTGACAGACACAAAAATGAGATTTGAACTGACCGTGACTGCTACCTTGACGTGGTGGTCCGGCTTGTTTCTCGTGATAACTTAACCGAGCTATATTGGCTGGAACATATGTTCCTGTAGGTTCTACCATGCCAGGCAGGTGGATTGGAGAACGATGAGACTAAAAGCAGCTACTCAAGGTTTGAGGGCGAAGTCGAACTGCTAACTATAGAGGTCGCTAACCATCGGTGACTACCGTCTCGCGGACCCCAACCAGGTAGCCTACATCTACCAACATGACTCAGTCCACTTGTCAGTGACTTTGTGGATTTTTGTAATGATTTGGTTTGGCCACCCCTAGCTTTCTTCCAATCTACTCCTACACCACAAAACAGCTCGTCCTGACCGTAGCTGCTACCTTGACGTGGTGGTCGGGCTTGCCCATCGTGATAACTTAACCGAGCTATATTGGGTGGAGCACATGTTCCTGAAGGCTCTACCATGCCAGGTAGGTGGATTGGAGAACGATGAGACTAAAAGCAGCTAGCTACTCAAGGTTTGAGGGCGAAGTCGAACTGCTGACTATAGAGGTGTGTGACAGCATTAAGGTGTTTCTCTCGGACAACCAGCATCTACAGTGATGTTGCCTTCTCACAAGGAAGGAATGGGTTAGAAAATGTCAATCCCAAGAATGTCACACCTCACGGATTTCCGTCTCCGTCGGTAAGGCCTTTTAAAAAGATCGGAGATAGCACTTCAAAAAAACTCATAAAAAGGCTTCAATCAGTTGTCCCTTGGACTCTGCGGTCACGCTCCCAGGTCGGTAGGACCATTACTAATCTACCTTCCTTTTCACGTTCCTCAAGAAACACCCATGGTGTGGGCAGCCGGGAAGTGACCTTCGCCCTCATACCTGTAATGGCACACGAGACCGAATTGGTCACAATCAGATCGATCCTCCCTACACTCCTTAACGGTGAAAAGTGTTGAATTCAAAGCAAAAAACTAATGAACGAAGCCATTTCGTCCAGGAGCTGAACTCACTCTCAATCTATTTTGTCATAAATAGCTGAATACAGAAATTCATAGTCGATAAATGTGTTTTATAATATTTGATGACAAGTGATAAATATTCCATCAACTGATGTTGATACACTGAAGCTGTAACTCATTTAGCAACAAGCAACTTAATGCTTATTAATTTTTTGTAAGAAATCGAGCATTGTATCTTCTGGATGACGACTTTGGTAGTTCTCCATGTTTCCGCTCCATACAATAGCTGTCTTGACATTTGTATTGAAAATCGTGATTTTGGTTTTGTTTGAAAGTTGTTTGGAGTTCCAGATATTTTTCATCTGTAGAAACGCAGCCCTTGCTTTGCCAATCTGCGCCCTCACATCTGCATCGTATTCACCTTGATTGTTGATGATGCTGCCCTGATACATAAACGTGTTAACGTCCTCCAAGGTATCTCCATCAAGAGTGATTTGGTTGGTGCATGTTGTGTTGCATCGTAGAATTCTGCTTTTTCCTTTATGTATGTTGAGACCTACTGCTGCAGAGGCTGCTGCTACACTGGTCGTCTTTTCTTGCATTTGTTGTTGCGTGTGCGATAGAAGAGCCTAAAATCTTAAAGAAACGAACGCTGTCTAAGAATTTCGAAGTTAGCTCAGATGTTTACTACTGATCATTTTTTTCCAGTGACTGACCTCTTTAAGTGATAGATAGTGTGATATTGCTTGATCGCTGTGTAAAACAATCGAGGTTATATCTATCTAGTCCTTAGACCTGATTGGAATTCTATCAATTAAGTTGTATTTTAACTATGACACTAGGTAGTGCTGATTCCATTCTGACTGAGAGCAATAGTTCTTTCAAAATGTTTTAGACACTGGATAAAAAACATCAACTATTCTGAGAGCTAAAAGTCGATCAGAGCTTACTGCCAACTACTTCCAATTATCTAATTTATATGAATTATTTTGATAGGACTTATAAAAAAATAAGAGCAAAAGTATTGTCTACATACATAGCTGAACAGCCTACTTAGGCAAGAACTCAACATTTGAAATATTCTTTAATGCTTCATTGACTGTGACATTGGTTAACCAAGTCTATGGAAGCATATGTATCCCCTCAAGGTCACACAGATAATTCCTAATTGGACAGACAATCCAACATCGTAATCAATAGTAGTAAAATATTTGATTTGATTCTGGAAGGGATGAGTCAATCGCTTTCATCAATTTTTTTTAATTATTTGAATACAACTCTCTTAGAAATGAGTCATTTTTATTACACTGAACATTGTAACAACAATATTATATATATATATATATATATATACATCGATTAAGGTGTTGACGTTAAAAAGGTCAGACATATCAAGACTGTGTGTGTTTTTTTAAAAAAGATAGATAGAACTAGTTAACAGTAACCTTGTATTAATGATTGTTGGATAAAATAAAAAGCCTATGGTCAAAATAAGTGTCCAAATTTTAGCTCAAGTTAATCGCATTAATATAAATATTAAAACAGATTTTTGAAGATAGTTAGTTCTATTCCAAAATTAGTTTGGATTAATTTTTGGTTAAATAAATGCTGAAAATCAGAAAACATTGAATATCATCTATTGGTTCTTAATTAAAAGACGCCTTAGCAATCAATACACACCCATATGTATCGTCTACTAGTGACTTCTTTGAAATTTTTAAAACAATATTAATGGAGGAGTACAGTCATCCTGAAAGTGAGACAATCAGCAAATTTGCAATAGGTCACAAATTGATTGACGTTGATTGTTTTATAAAGACTGGTTTCCAACGGTCTGATTTTAGAGGTATTACTTTCTATATGAGATGTAAAGTTCGTTGATTCGATATAAATTACAGTTGTAGATAATAGAAACCGACCAACAACATCTCTCAATTAGAGTTATGAAGATTAGTGTTTTTACACATTTATATTACCAATCAATCATTGTTAGACTACTATTGGAAATATGGAGGCACGGGAAGGTCGTTTCGTCCTGGTATGGAACTCCTCAGCAGTGCGCATCCACAACTCCTGCACCCCGCATTATTCAAACCCAAGACCTGCGGTCTCGCGCGTGAACGCCTAGAAAATCAAATAGCTAGAAATAATCATAACCAGAAAAAGCAGTTCGAACCATTTAAACTCTACCCTGATAGTTAAGATCTTCATTTAGAGAAGTTATGAAGCCTCAGAGTTTCTTCGAAAGTCAAGAAGCCAATGCCTCTTTTCACAACAAGAGCAACAATTAATATAGGTATACGGAATGTTTTTACATTCTGGGAGATCAGAAGAACCATTCAACTTGCTGCAGAAATAAAAAGATACCTAAAACCTGGTGGTACTGGGGGGTATCAGTGAACACTTTAGACATACGATGGACAAAAAAATTAGCTTTAGGTGAGATGTTGTCGTACTCCAACCATGAACATGAAAATGTTTCACATACGCAAGGAGTTGCATTAATGCTGTCCAAAGAGGCGCAGAAAGCACTGATAGGATGAGAAACTCATGGGCTTACGATCGTCGAAGCATCCCTTGAAAGAGGGCATCACAATGAACATCATCCAATGCTATGCGCCTAGCAACGACGACAATAATCACATTAAGGATCAATTCTACGTCTTATGTTCTGTACTTGAGTAACGCCAAACCACTGTACAAATGACAACACCGAACGTTAGACTCCCACCGTTCAAAAATAAGAAGACGGAAGACGTTGGAGAACACTCATTAACGGAATCAAAAATATAAATCGAACATGCGTATTTATACAATTATACATATAATCGATATTGTCGTTTAAATATTTGAATATTAAATCAAATAGTTCATCGATCGACTGCCTTGAAATATTTAAGCATTTAATCGATAAGTTCATCAACCGACTATGCGCGTGTGTGGCTTCTCGATGGCTATCCCAACACTACGAGAGGCTAAAGTCAGTCGTCTAGAAATGCCCAACAAAGGACTTAACCATTCTGATTGATGATCTGAACCCCAAGGTTTGAGTGGACAACCATGGATATGAAGACATCATAGCACGAGATAGGTTGAGAGAAAGAAACAAAAATGTTGAAAGATTCGTATACCTATCCGCCTTCAACAAATTTATCATAGGCGGCACTATATTCTCAAATAAACGCAAACGGAAAACTACATGGATTTCCCCAGATCACCCTACACAGAACCAAATCTACCATATCTACATCAATAAACAGTTTAGAAGGAAGATGAGAGACTTGATAAGTGAGAAAGGATCTGATATGGCCTCAGACCACCAGTTGCTGGTCGCCAAAATGAAACGGAAAGTCGAGAAGCACTAGACAATTGTGCCGCAACTACGGATCTCCCAAATGATGTGGACTCGCTTACGATTGAAGGGACCAGTATGGCTATCAGACAAATCAAGAGTGGCAGAGAAGTAGTACCAGACGAAATTCCACTTGAGGTACTGAGAGCAGACGTAGAAGTGACTGCAAAGATACTTCACATCATCTTCAGCAAGATTTGAGATGAAGAACAAGCGCAAGCAGACTGTGAAGGGCACCTCATCCAATTACTAAACAAAGTAGATCTCAGCAAGTGTGAGAATTACAGAGTCGTTGCTATACTCTCAATGCCACGAAAAGTTTTCAACAAAGTGTCGTTAAACAGAATGGAAGATTCACCAGGCACCCAACCCTGACATATGAAGGCCGCATTCTTTAGAAGTCGTTTGTGTACCGATCAAATCGCGTACAACACCACGGATCATTGTGGAATAATCAATAGTATGGAAATCACTACCACTATACACCGACTCACTTGAATACGAGAAAGCATTCGATCACGTGGACAGGATAAATCTATGGAGGCTTCTTCAACACTATGGTGTGCCTGAGAAGATAGTCAACA